TGACCGATAAAGATAATTAGAATCGGTTAAAGTTTTTTTTTTTTTTTTACAAAGTCCCAAGCTACAACAATGCAGCCAATAGAAATGATTGTGAAAGATCAATCACAATTAAATTAATTCGAGCACTTTAGACTCCGATTCAAAACACTATAGCAGGTCCAATTAAAAAATCGACCAAGCCAGAAAGCCGATAAATTTGTCTGTCAACTGTCAAGGATCTCTCTAGCTAAAAATTTATAAAAGTTCAAATATTTAAAAGATATTTCTTTTCGTAATCATTATGTATGCAATATATATATATATACATATTGCAAAACGATTGAGATAGGCTTTTTAGGAAACGCTATGATCAAATATGTTGAAATAATAACGATAATTTCGTGTATACAACGATAATGTCATTGATAATTATATACATATTTTAATTACTATTATTAGTATGCATTACCATTATCTCTATGTACCAGTACTTACATAATGGTCTTGTGGTAAACTAACGTGGGTATTTTATATTTCATTCGATTTATACCTTGGGCTGGGCGAAATTCAAAAAATTTAAAACTTTGTAAAATTGCGGGCTAGATGTTTAAAAAACAGTAAAATGCGGATCGACTTTTAAAAACAATATAAAATTTATTTTTGCGAGTCGGAAAAAGTACAATTTTTTATACAATTTTTACGGTACGTATAATATTTTGATAAGAATTTGTGTCAACTATTTGGTCTAGATTGATTTATATGTGGGGGTTTTGCCTTGAAAATGACCTTACGGGACTATGTAGATTTTATGAATAAAAAATTAAAAGTCCTAGCCATCCAGTAATCCAATTCAAATAAATTTTTTTTAATTTTGTAGAACTCACTAAGTTTTACAAAATAAAAAAAAAAGTTTATTTACAGGATGGCTAGAAAATTTAATTTTTATTATTAAAATCTACATAGTCCCGTAAGGTCATATTCAAGGTAAAGACCTTATGCATTAAACCAATTTTGAAATTAAAAAAAATTAGATTATAGTTGGAAATAAAAATAATTTAATGTGCTCACAATAAAAATAATATAATGTGCTCATCAAGTTTTAAAATAATATAATGTGCTCAAGTTTTACAAAAAGAATAACTGAGCAAAGACCTATATAACAACGATAATAAAAAATACTTAAAATTATTTATAATTATTTTATTTTATAGTTTACCACTATATTTGTACGTACAAGCTCTCAATGATAGTGTTAATGGTCCATTAGGCATTCATGTTGTTTGTGCTGCTGGAAATTCTGTTGATGACGCATAGCAATATTCAGTAAATGTTATCACAGTTGGTGCCACTCAACCTCTAATTATGGTCAATGTGTTGACATTTTTGCCCCAGGCTTTAAATTAAAATTCAGTTGATTTATTTGAAAATTGTATTAATAATAACTTATTTGGTTTTATATGGAGGTGATAATATTACTTCCGCTGGGATTTTGTCTAATATTGATCTAGCTATGATGTTCGGAACCAGTCAGGCTTCTCCTCATGGTATTCTCCTATACTAAGTAGTTTTTTTTTTTACATAAAAATTGATTTAATCTAATAACTGCGGTAACGGGTTGCTTTGATCATCTCTCAATTTGGAAAGATATCTCCTGATGACGTGAAAAGCTATCTTTATGATATAGCTACATACAACGTAGATTTTAATGATTCATCCTCAAATATATGTTTGCGTGTTCCATATTCACCTTCTGAATGCTTCAATTCCGCGCTCGATCCTAGTCAGGACGAGGACAATCAGACTCCGAATTCCAATTCGAATTAGTATGTATCCAATCGCCAAAACATCAAGAATATTTAAGGGTCATCATTATCGTTTAATATTCTACAACTTCAAGAACCATCATAATTAAAAAATTGTTAATAATGTAATCTATAGAATTTTTTGATAATTTATCAGATAATAAATTACGTTGATTGTTAAACTAACCTGATTTAACATTATCATCATTATAGTTCAAATATGTGAATGGGCTTGGTACTGAGAAAAGAACGAATTTGACAAAATCATATTTACAAAAAAATTAATTATCTCGTGAACTATCGATTAAAATTATATAATTTTGGCATTATTTGAGCTAATACAGTCAAGCCTCGATATAATCGCCCGGTTGGGAAACAAAAAATTGGTGATTACAAAAAGTTGTGATTATATAAAGGTCAACTATAACAAGGCTGTGACTATATAGGGAGTGACTACGTATAACGAGGTCTGACTGTATACGTATAATAAATGTATAGTAATAACAAAAAAATTAATAGTGCGCAGTAGATGCATTGCTAACATATAGTAAATGTAAAAAAAATTGCTACGTATTACCAAGCAACTACAGTTATTATCCTCTATAATCATTATCCTCTATAATCACACAGTATGTTCCAAGCAAAAAAATAGGTGATTATAAAAATTCTATTATGATGTGCTTATATATATGTTGTGCTTCAGGTTAGAGGTAGGGTAAGAATTAGGTTATAGTTTAGGCCAATTGATGTCGATCAGTTAATGCCGGCCAAACAATCAACACCTGAGGCGAAAATCAATTTGAAACACAACATATACAAATCTTTTTTATAAGTTTATTAATAATTTTTTTCAAAATTTAAGGTAATCATATAGGATTTGTGATCATATAGGAGGTGGTTATAGAGGAGCACAACAGTATATAGTTATTTTATAGTAAATTGCAAATAGTATTATAATTCGCAAGTTTCATAAAAGTACGTTTATTCGAGTAGATTAATTCTAAACTCATAACAATAATGATTCAATAACATAAATATATAAAAATTTTATTTACGATTATAAAGTATTTTTTTTATTATGAACAATAACGTATTTGAATTGTTTTGTAAACGTAAAATATAGTATTTGTATAATAATTAATTTAATATTTTTATAGATATTGGCCAAAAGCTCAAAGTTAAAACCTAAACCCTATTCTATATTACCCACAATAATAGAATAACACATTCTAATTTATTACCAGTAAAAGTATTTTTATTTCATCCATTTTTTTTAAAAGACACTTCGCTTACTCCGTTCTCTTCATTTCAATTATTATCATAATATTAGGCTTTCTTCTAGAATGCGTTTATAGGTCCTAAATTACTAAATAATAATAATATAATAATAATTAATAAAAGTAATAATTAAAAAAAAAATAACAACAGTAAGAAATAATACAACGAAGAAAACCAAAAAGAGACCCAGGATGCACACGCTTCCAGTTGCCAAGAGAAAACAGAGAGATGTGAGAAATTATCCCTTATCCTTATTCCCCGCGTCCCTATCTAACAACGTTGTTATTTGTCAAAGATCGTAACTAATTCCTCTTCTAGAATCAGTAGGCTTTGACTACGTTTGCTAAATAAGGTCTCCAAGGCAAGGTCCGAGGTAATTCTTCGTGTAAGATTCTTACCTTTTTAAAACTATTAAGCTTCTCGTAAAAAAAAAAGAAATTACCCTAAATAATAATATAATAATAATAATTAATAAACGTAATTAATAAAAGTAATAATTAAAAAAAAATAACAACAGTAAGAAATAATACAACGAAGAAAAACCAGAAGAGACCCAGGATGCACACGCTTCCAGTTGCCAAGAGAAAACAGAGAGATGTGAGAAATTATCCCTCATCCTTATTCCCCGCGTCCCTATCTAACAACGTTGTTTTTTATCAAAGATCGTAACTAATTCCTCTTCTAGAATCAGTAGTCTTTGACTACGTTTGCTAAATAAGGTCTCCAAGGCAAGGTCCGAGGTAATTCTTCGTGTAAAATTCTTACCTTTTTAAAACTATTAAGCTTCTCGTAAAAAAAAAAAGAAATTACCCTAAATAATAATATAATAATAATAATTAATAAACGTAATTAATAAAAGTTATAATTAAAAAAAAATAACAAAAGTAAGAAATAATACAACGAAGAAAACCAAAAAGAGACCCAAGATGCACACGCTTCCAGTTGCCAAGAGAAAACAGAGAGATGTGAGAAATTATCCCTTATCCTTATTCCCTGTGTCCCTATCTAACAACGTTGTTTTTTGTCAAAGTTCGTAACTAATTCCTCTTCTAGAATCAGTAGGCTTTGACTACGTTTGCTAAATAAGGTCTCCAAGGCAAGGTCCGAGGTAATTCTTCGTGTAAGATTCTTACCTTTTTAGAAATGCTAAGTTTCTCGTAAAAAAAAAAGTGCTTAGGTATATAATAATAATAAACTAATGATACGCGATAATCGTTGAATTACGCGTAGTAGAATATTAGAAATTAGAAAAAAAAAAAAAAAAGGTATTTTTGGTTTTTGATTTCACGTTACACCTGATCTTGCGAAAGGTTTAATTTCAAGAGTTTGGATCCGGTTATCCATTGGATACAAATTAATAGTAAAATCCGTTGGATAGCCGTTAAATTTAATATGAAAACGGATGACCAGATCCAAGCTCTAATTTCAAGTGACGTGTTACGTGTTCCAGTAGGATAGTCTAATGGATTAGATGATAATCTAATGGGTTTTAAATAGCGTAAATCCTTCTTGCAGAATAGTGTAGAATAAACCCTCAATAAATCGAAACAATTACAATCATTCGTCAGATCAATAAAACAAATCAAATAAAGAGTTTAGATTGCCGATTAGCCCATATGATTTCATAATTATGTGATTCTAAAAAAAAATAATTTCATTTATATTAATTTTAATGATACTTTGATCAAAAGTTTTTTACAAAACAAACACAATTTTTATTCGAAATTATTATAAAAAATCATCATGAATCATGGTAGGATATTGTATATCAAAATACATATTGTGTTCTGTTTTATAAATCAAAAAGAATATAAAAATACTCCAAACTATAAATAAAGGGTCAAAAAAAGATCATTTTATATCATCGAGGTAGATCAAATCTCAAAATTACACTATTATAAACAGATTACTAAAAAGTAGAGATATTTGACTCTGAAGTTACTATTTAAACTGTTCTTCGGTTACGCCCTTTCCCATAGCAGCAGTAGAAGCGACTCCAGATTGTACAGTTTTAACTTAAAAAGATTAAATATGTGTAAAAATTGAGTTCTCATAGATTCGTTATTAAAATAACAAATTGACTTACTTAATGAATCAACATAATTTGCACCAGCCCACTTTTGATGTGCCAACGTTTCAACTCCGTGTTCACGTTCTTTTCGTTGAACATCTCTAACATAAGCCAACATACCTTCCTTGGCATATTTACGTGCAAAAAGGTCTATAAAGTAAATAAATATTTAATATTGTCATCAACCAATTAGCAAAGAAACATTATAATAACAATGATAATTACCGACTCCCAAGGCATTAGAATGAAGACCACCCAATGTAATGAATTGCCATGAAAATCCTAATCTACCCAAGTCCCAAATGAAAGAGCGGATTTGTTCATCGTTTAAGCCGGCTTTATAAATAATAGGATTTAATAAAAGCGTATTAAAGACCTCAAATGATAACTAACATACGTATATATGTATACCTGCATCCCAATTAAAACTTGGCGACAGATTATAACAAAGTAAAATCTCAGGGTGAACCTTAAGTACACCTTAAACAATAAAGATATTATTTAACAAACGGCAACAAAATATATATATTTACTTATAAAAATCCCAATGTTTAATTAATAGTTACCTTCGGAGAACTCTCTCGCTTGTTCAACAATAGCAGATTTGGTTTCCTAATGTGAGAATAATAAATTATATTATATTACAACGAATATAAGAGAAAAAATACGTTGAATATTAGAAAAAAACGACCAACCATCCATAACATGTCAGTATATGGGGCATATGCTATAGCACGGTGGATAGAGCACTTTGTGCCACCTTGGTACCTGAACAATCCCTCAGTTGTCCTTGGTGAATTCCAATCCCAATATATTTCAATACCTAATGACTTGGCTAATTTAACTGCATCATAGTAAGAGAGACCTAATGATTTTGATGCCCATTTCTGGAGGCGAGATGATTTGTCAGCATAACTAGATGCTTTGATTGCATCACTTACAGCATCATTGTAAAGTTTGAGTTTTGCATTAGCAATCCAATTTTCTTCGATTTTGGCAAGTCCATTTCCTGTGACACCCTTTGATTCCTCCTCCTTTAAAATTTCTGCAAGAGGACGAAGGTTAGGGTTTGTAGAACCAAGAATAAATCCATGATCACGGGGATCTATATTAGATGTGATAAGAGTGGCGGCTTCAGAGTCAGTACGGGAGACAATAAGATTTTCAACCCCCATAATATCATATTGAATACGAATTGCAATCAAGCGATTGATATGCTCGGAGATTGGGACCAAGACCTTTCCAGCCATATGACCACATTTTTTATAAAGTGGACTCTGGTCTTCAATGTGAACTGAAATTTCATAATAAATTATTTTAGTAATTTTTAAAAAAATATCAAATTATTATGTAGTCAACTCTCAATAAATACGTGATCTACAGGTGAAATTTCTTTTCCTTTTAAGTGCAGATAGATTGAAAAAATTTTTGATAACAGATCAATTATTTAAGTAAGATTGGCTAAAAACGAGCGTAACCACTAATGATCTGCACTATCACGTAAGTTATAATTTTTTGATACTTTAAAATATATATATATATACATTTATTGAGAATCGATCGTGCATCAAAATTTTTATGTAACTCTTAGCTTTAATGATAAACTGGTAGTAGGTGGCAAAATTAAAAAGAAATGAAATCTTACCTCCGGCAGCTCCACGTTCAACAAACATTTTTGTAAGTTTTAATATGGCGGTGATACCGCCGTGACCCGTATCAGCATCAGCAATGATTGGACGCAGATAATCTACGAAAGGAGTTTTTGCACGTTCCTCCTTAGACATACTGTATCTGGCTTCACGCTGTTTTCTATCATGGAATTGTTGCGCCAAAAACAAATGTTCCACCTTGTTTGGAACAGTATCCATTGGGTAATCAGCAAGATCAGGCCCGGGCTCATTTGAGGTAGAAGCAGTAGCAGAACATTGCCAGCCTGAGACATACACAGTTTCAAGATACCTAGCCATTAGTGATACTTGTATAGGATCCAAACAACCGAAAGTATGCGAAACAGTCTTGTTCTTTTGATGACGTTTTAATAAAGCCCAGAGCTTTTTGGCCTGAGTGTCAGAGGCATATTGTTGTTTAAGAAGACTTCGTTTTGACACAATCTGTTCGGCAGTGTAAGGACGTTTTATAAGACGAAAGCGTTCTGTCTTCCACCACCTCTTCACTTCAGAAACTTCATAGTCAAATGCAGCTTGCTCTTGGGCCAAAAAATTCGCGGAAGACATTGTGACAAGTTACTTCCTTAGTATTCCTAGTATTCGTTGGAATTAAAATTAAAGTTAACTTGTTAAAAAAAAAGAGGATAAATTAATGGTGCTTACCAGAGAAGGTGGCTTAAGATCCACATTGCAGTTGATTAGATCTTTATCAATCTTTTATGATTGGTTACTATAAATCAACGATTATATATAGAGATCAGTGTTGGCCATTTTGGGTCATATCCCGCTTTATATGACCAAGGTAGTCATAACAAGTCATAACCTATAATTGGCTAATAGGTCATAATGGGTCATAGGCCAATACTGATAGAGATAGTGCAAGATAACATCAATATATCGATATGCGTATATAATACCTAGCATGTCGCTCCAATCATCAATATTAACAATAACTATGCTCGACATATTCGTATTTGGTTAGTGTTGATTTAGATTTTAAATCTTACGATTTTTTTTATTATAAAACCAAAAAAATTATATGATACATGAATACACGAGGGGATACTCCGAAAGGTCTGAACCCTTTTTACGTAAAGATGCTTTGGAGAGATACATGTGAATATGCATTAATTTGTTACATGAAAACAACCAAAGAATAAATGAACCTACTGTTTTTATTGAAGCCATAACAACGTAACGGCAAATGACCAGGTGTACGTATTACGTAAAAATTCGATACGTAGTAAAAATTTGTAAGTGATGTGATTTAAATTTAATGTCAGTTTTCGTATGATAGTTATATTTATATTAATATAACAACGTTAACGTTTCTAATAATCGAGTCGAGTTTGAGATCTACGTAACTCGAGTTAACGAGTTTTATAAAATAATAATTAATGTAATTTACATATTTCCCAACTCGGGTCATAACTTACACTTATTTCGATATGATTATACAAAAAATTATTCATTAATAAAAACCAGTTTATTAATCATTAAATTAAATATCTACTTTTTACAACTCAAACAAAATTTTTAATTTTAATATACAACATATATATCAATTTAGTAACTTTCATTTATTTTATTTATTACACAATAGATTAATTAATAATTACATATTAAAAAATTCACTAAAAAATTTATTTAATAAAATACATATTGGTATCCGTTAGCTCTTATCTGTAATTTAGATAATACCCAGGCCACACGACAAGGACGTCGATACCAAAAAGTGACCCAAAAAAAAAGCTTTCGCAACCTGGGTTTGCGAAAGCAAAAAAAAAAAATACTTCCAGAGAGATTTAAACCTATTATAAAAAAAAAAAAAGTTAAAATCAAACAAAAAATTATACTTACCTACTCTCTGAAAGTAAAGGGGCCTTTCCCAGGTAAGGAGGGTGGCATATATTCCAACCCGTTCTTCACGCTCTTCTTTGCGCGGGTTGGTCAATGCGCTATAAAAAAAAACTACTTACCTTTGAAAGAAACCCATGTTTGGGAATCTTTCAAAACCGAAAAAGTTAGAATAGGCATAGCAACTGAACACAAGTGTGTACAAAGCGATATACTTATCTTAATAAAGTTTATAGCTTTCAAAAAACATACGTATAAATATAAAGATAAAATTTATTACGAACTCAAAAAAAGGGTTATCGCAAGCTTAAAAAAATATATAAAAAGAAAGAAAAAGCGTATATAAAAATTTAAAAAAAAACAAAAACCTTTTATTATCGCGTTCATTGTCATCATCACGTCTTAAGATTCCGTTTTTGGTTGAAGAAGCATGACAGCATTTCTATTTATGCATAAAGGTTATACGATGGTATCATATGAACATCCCTTACCCTAATTTAACTAAAAAATTCAAAATCCGCTTAAATTCCGTTCCTACCTACGTACAAACAAATTGGGATTTGGGATTGGAACTTTAGGTTTGCTGTATATAAATACCAACCATTATATTTGCTAGATCTTGTAAAACCTTAATGCAAAAATCAAAGGTTTCACGAGTTATAAAGGCTTTAACGCCGACTTTTTGATCAAATATTTGGAAAGCAATTCTTCGAATGCAAATTCTGGATTTTGATTGTAACACAAATTACAGGTTTTGATTGGTTACTAGATCAAAACAATCACTGTGAAAATTAATATAAAATTCCTTCAGACTTTAAATATATAGTTTTTATTTGCCTAGTTTATTTAATTAAAAATATTTTTTTGAAAAAAGAAATTCCTAGAGCATAGTGTGGTAATTGACCTCTTCGTCTGTATTTGCTATTCATCTTTTGACAAAAATTTGGTCTCTATATTGATAATACAAGTAAAAAGAAAACATGAAACAAATGATTATGACGTAGCGGGTCCTTAGGAATCGATTTTCAAAATTTCAAAAAAACTTACAGCGCTTTGCAAAAAGATGTGCACATGATTTTTGTGATGATGATCGGAAAAATTGCCAAGATTTTTGATTGTTGTTTTATATTTTCGATTAGTTACGTTCATATTTCTTTGAAATCGATAAAATTCTTAAAATCAATAGAATCCCCGATTCCCACATGACATCGTGATCTGCAAAGGTCACATCTCAGCAATAAGAAAAATAGCAGCCGAAACTAACACTATGCGTTCCAAATAGTTTGGTAGGGTGTAATTCGTAAGGAACGTGATCATATGCTCATATGATTGGTTGGATCATATGTATATCTACTGTAGTTCAATAATACTAGCTGAGTTTTTCTCATAAGCAGAAGTTTGTCTGATTGGCTAATAAATTCAATTTAATTTTACATTATTTATACAGTTTAGAATACTTTTCAAAAAAACGAAAACCAACAATAATAAAGTAAAAAAAATCATATAGAATGTTCATTAGAGCTGTAGAACTCCATAGTCAAAAATAAGATCTAATTCTCGTTCATTTAAAAAAATTAGCTTAGTAATAAGTTGATTTTATCGGGT